TTTTTTTTTGAGTAATGTTAGGGGGACATCATCATTCACAAAATGGTTCACATAATTACACGTGGCAGTTAATTCAACCTTTAATTCAAATTTTATACTTACACATCAACAAGTGGATGACTGCCACATCTACATTATGTGAATCATTATGTCATAGGTAATGTACCTCTAGCATTTTTCTTTTTTTTTTGTGTGTGTGGCCATTGTCCAACAGGAAGCTGTCAAGTATTTTCTGTATTAATTCTGGTAACATTTTTTCCATACAAATAGCAGATTTCATGCAAGAAAATGGTATTTATGACATTTTTTAACGAACATTGCTATGTGTATATAGCAATACACATAAGGGTGTACATAATGTGAGAGGGATGGGGCCCTCGCTACTGTAGCGCGGACCCCACCCCTCTCACATTATGTACACCCCTATGTACCATGCTATGTACACATAGCATGGTCCTTTTTTAACACGAGTTGTGCTGTGGGTACATGGTGAGAGAGTACACAAAACCCCCAATACCTCACAATAGGGAGGAGGGGGGGATTTTTTTGGCAATTTCTTATTACCATGGATCTCGCATGGGGCCCACCAATGTGAGTATGTGTAAAACTTGTGTGAATCTTAATTCTGTACACATGGCTTTGTAAATTGTAAAACAATGACAAAAGTCCTGTTGGAAGTAACTTGTCATATGTCCTTGCATAGATACTAGATAGATATCATTCATTTTGTGCCATAGATTTATTTTTAATAAAGTAATGTTATTTATCCTCGTGGATTGCAACTCCAATCTAGATAATGTCAGTGTGACATTGAATCATTTAATTTCATCTTTCATTTAGCCAATCTAACACCAGTTACACCACCTAAATTGGAGTTACAATTCCAGTAAGGTTAAACAACATTATTCTTTTTAATATAGTGCTTTATCACATTAAATATCAAAATATCCTTGTTTAGTTGATCCCAAACAACCTACGCCATTCCCTCCACAAGATTTTCCTCAATTGCGAGTCGAAAATGACTTGGCATTGGCAGTAGAACTCATTTCTAAAAGCTCGAATTGTGGGGCATCCCTACCACAATAAGATTCCAAAACCTCGGCTCACTCTTGTAATGATGCTATGTTTCCTTTACTTTATTGACCAATGAATAACAAACAAATTTTACTACTGTAGCACACGGAGTTAATATCGCTAGTAATCGTGAATGAGCATGCCACGTTAAATGTAATATAGACATAAACCACGCAAACATTTCCCATTGATTATTTTAATTCATTGGTTTAATTACATTCTAAATGCTAGAAATATAAAATAGAATCATTTTCGCAAACATGAATCCCATTTTAAAAAAAAAATTAATATAAAAAGAATTTGACTTCTATCTTGGAGCCACGAAGGATACATCAAGTTAAGCATATTAACTCTGTAAATTTCTTTGACTGTCTCTTAAAAAAATGTCTGGGAAGGTATATTGAGCCAATATAAAGCTTGTTTGGCACATATTTTTCTAAAGAATAATGATTTTGTAATGAATGTGTTATTGAAAATGATTTTGCAGAAAATAATTTAAAAAAAAATATTTGATAAACAATCTTTTTAATGAATTTGAGCATATGTATCTAAACTTGTGTATGAGTGAATTTTTCTGTGTGAAGTGTGGGGTGTCGGTGGATGAATAAAATTCTTTTTTTAATCATGCGGGGTCCACCCCATGTGAGATTGTTGACACCCTTATGTACAAGAAATTATGTACAAGTAGCTTTATCCATGCTATTTATCCTCATGGATTGCAACTCCAATCTAGATAATGTTAGTGTGACATTGAATCATTTAATTTCATCGTTTATTTAGCCTTTAATCTAACACCATCTAAATTGAAGTTACAATTCCAATAAGATTAAACAACATTATTCTTTTTAATATAGTACTTTATCACGTTAAATATCGAAATATCCTTGTTTAGTTGATCCCAAACAGCCTACGCCCTTCCCTCCACAAGATTTTCCTCAATTGCGAGTCGAAAATGACTTGGCATTGGCAGTAGACCTCATTTCTAAAAGCTCGAATCGTGGGGCATCCCTACCACAATAAGATTCCAAAACCTCGCCTCACTCTTGTAATGATGCTATGTTTCCTTTACTTTATTGACCAATGAATAACAAACAAATTTTACTACTGTAGCACATGGAGTTAATATCGCTAGTAATCGTGAATGAGCATGCCACGTTAAATGTAATATATACATAAACCACGCAAACATTTCCCATTGATTAATTTTAATTCATTGGTTTAATTCCATTCTAAATAGAATCATTTTCGCAAACATGAATCCCATTTTAAAAAAAAAAATTAATATAAAAAGAATTTGACTTCTAACTTGGAGCCACGAAGGATAACATCAAGTTAAGCATATTAACTCTGTAAATCTCTTGACTGTCTCTTAAAAAAATGTCTGGGAAGGTATATTGAGCCAATATAAAGCTTGTTTGGCACATATTTTTCTAAAGAATAATGATTTTGCAGAAAATAATTTTAAAAAAAATATTTGATAAACAATCTTTTTAATGAATTTGAGCATATGTATCTAAACTTGTGTATGAGTGAATTTTTCCGTGTGAAGTGTGGGGTGTCGGTGGAGTTATTTTGCATGTGATGTCATGATGGGTGCTTGATTGGTCTGAATACACGTGGACGTGTTAAAACCAAGCCATCTGTCAATGCCACGGCATATTGGAATTTGAGATCCAGCTGATGTGATGTGTTAAAACCAAGCCATCTTTCACACATTGGATTAAGTTTTCAAAGAATAATATAACACATCTCCTCGTATGGAATGACATGTATTTATCCTCAAGAAGTTATGGAAGTCTTGTTACTCAAGAGTCAAGCCATTGCACGGACCAAGTTGCAAAGACCAAGGCACATCTAGTTAATTTATATAAAACCAATCACAGAAATAGATTCCAAAAAGTGAAGGTAGGCAAGTGATGTATAATCACCGCCACAGAAGAACAGGAGAGAAGTTATGTCCAAAATATCAACAAGGCTGTTGTTATTTCTTAAAATGATAGCTAAAAACAGGGTGGAGTCTTTTTGATGCTATATATCAGAACTTCAAACTTTACACATTCCAACCAAAAAAGAGGAAAAAGAAAATGAGAAATACACTAGTCCGATGAATCTGATCCTGATCTCAATCGCATATGGTCAACATAGAACTGTTTGCAATGCTTCGCTGCGATCTCTTGCAGTGCTTCACCAAGAAGTTTCTCTTCCTCTTCAAAATCCCATGTCTTAATATCTTCTGCAATATCCCAATCTTCAAGATCCTCTAAACCCCCATCATAATCATCATCGTCATCATCATAATCCTCTCGTGCTAGTTCTAAAAACTTGATGATCACTAGAAACACCCTCTTCATTCGGTATCCCGACAATGGCAAATTCAACACTTTCAAGGAAGCAGTCATTAGATAAAGTGGTAATTCACAGTCAAAGCGATTTCCTATGTGCAAGCTATTTCTCCACATAACAAGCTGTTCTTCTTTCAGAACCAATTTCCCCTGCTTTTCAAAATTTGTAACTGTCACACACTTGAGTGAGTGAAGGCATTTGATGAGTATGCAAAGTAGATGTATACATTCTGTGCAACTCCAGCACAATCCTAAACAGTTGTGGAACTGAGAATCCTCGGAAGTATACACTTGGTTTTCTTGTTTTTCATCAGGTTGATGTTCAGTCATCTTATGTACCGAACCAGGTACAAGACAAACTAGGCTCTCAATTTCAGCTCGGCCACTTCCGCATCTTGCCTTCCACAAAAGAAAAGGGGAATTAGCAATTTTTTGGGGATATGTAAACTCCAGGTAAATGGATTCGAGTTTCTTGAATTTCTGAAGGAATATGATGAAGTTCAGCTTTTCAAGCGATTTAGACCGAATATATCCAGGGATTTCTTCACTTCTGATGCAAAGTATCTTTTGAAAAAGTTCACACTCGTTTCGAGTAGACTCGAGGGAGAAAGCTTCACTGCTAGGAAGAATCAAAGAAACACTTTGAATCCAAGACATTGTAGAAGCAAAGCGTTTGCATACAATTGAGCATCGGCACAAAAATTTTAAGTTGGCCAACTTAGTGAATATGGAAACGAGTAAACGGTCTGGCAGGCTGCTGAAGTTATCCTCCAAATCTGTTGCTTTGTTGTTTTTCTGTTTCTTCATGCCTTATTTTGTTCTGCTTTTCTCTTATGCTCTCTCTCTCAGAGTTCTGAAATCTATAGATCTACTGCACCACTGCACAAAAAGGAAGAAAGAACAGTGTATAGAGAACAGGACATTAGATTCTAACATTCAAAATTATATAGTGCATAACTAAGACAGAACATTCGTTAGAAATAAACGCAATTAGGATGGCATGAACAAAAGACAAATCGCTAGACTTGAAAATTAGAGTTAGCTCACACCCATTTGTTATGCATCTTTTACTTATTTTGTTTGTATTTTCTCCGCTGATGAGAGGAGAGAAAGTAGGAGCAAATGATAGGAAACCTCAACCTCCTCATGTTATAGTTTGAGGCCGTTTTCAGGAATCGGATCCCCATACAAAAGAGGGATGAAAAGAGAGAAAATACGAGGAACAACTCTTTCAAATCTAAAACTATCTCACTACATCGTTATGCTTGAGGTTAAAATAACCATTCATAGGTTTCATGTATTAACAGGTTATAGCATAAAGAAGTATAACAATTATAGAGGTCATGTTTCACAACATCTACATGCATTTAGACCAAGCACATGGCTCAGTCCAACATAATTTGCACTTGAAACCAGGTCTCGGCACTTCGGTATACCTTGGCTCCTGATCTCATGCCTGAGGAGTCCTTGATAAAGAAATTTTGATCTATGACGACTAAATTTTTCCAACCTTAGAGATCATAGCCTACTCGAGTTCAAAGATCTAGTCCCCGCAGTTTCTTTCTTTGAAAGCAATACTACGAGATGGTACAAATATTCGAAAAAATAGGAATTCTATCAATAATGTTGGATTAAACGCCAAACCTTAGGAATCTACGTTCTTTACCAGTTTCATAATCAAATACCAAAACTATTCTATACATAATTATTTTTCTACCATTACTTCGAATCATGAAACATGCACACGCACAAGCCGAACACGCTAGATGGCTGTGGATTTCTTTTAATTTCTTGTCATGCCGCAACACCACTACGATTAGGTTAACAATAACTGAAACAAACAGAGTAATCCAAATCACAATGCAGTTCATTTCACGAATCAAAACCAGAAAGAAAAAGAGTAACATAACCTCAAATCCATCAATTTATTGGCAGGGAGAGATGAGGTAAGAATATTGGAGAAATGCTAAACCGCAGCAATATCTGGAGAAAGTGAAGAGGTACGACTAACAAGTTTTTCGCGCCAAAATGATAAGAAACTTCTGGACTCTGGAGTGAAATGGATTAAATGGGTCGAGACACAATGGAGTGGGCTTTTATTGGGCTACATTGATGGTACTGGCCCATTAATTCCAAGCCCATTTATATAAAATCTCCGTTCATAGCCCAAAATTAATGTCAGTTGGGCTGAGACAACCCATATATCTTCTATAGATTAAAAGTGGCTATGTAACGGAATTTCTTGTTTTTAACGGAAAAACTAACGGAATTTGTTGTTTTAACGGACCATGTAACGGAATTTCTTGTTTTAAACAGGTAGCTGCACCTTCTTTCAGTGTTGTTATCATAACTNATCATTCTCCAATTCGATCACTTTCTATGCCAAAAATAGATCTCAATATAAGACTAAAATATCGGAGCATAACTTTTCGGTTGGAAATTGATTTGTGATCATCTTTTGACTAAATTTGATTCCGTTGACATCTTCATTTATCCAATTGACTCCGACCACTCTCAAATCTTCATCGTGAGGTTCAACACAATTTTTAAGTATTTATATTTTAGTCCCCAAATTTTGGATCCCTTACAATTTAACCCTTTCTACAAATTTGTCTAACTTTCTTCAATCTCACCAACTTACATCACAACATCAAAATCACACATCTAATTATACATTACATCATTAATTATTTAATTAATCAAAAAAATTACATTTTTATTAATAACAAATTAATTTTTAAACAAAATTATTAAATATAAACTAGGCAAACGTGACTTGCATGCTTGCACCCAATGTACACTAACAGGGGTTCAGCCTTGTATTAGCCAATGACGTTAAAGAAGAAGAAGTGCGCGGCATTTCAAAGCAAAGAACATTTCCATATTCCTCCAGTAACACCACTACAAAACCCTATCCTCCATCACCTGAACTGAAACCCCTGACGGGTGGCGCGGAGCGGTGGCGTAGATTCATCAATGGAAGACGTCTGTGAAGGAAAGGATTTCTCGTTCCCGCTGCAGGAGGAGAAAATCCTCTCGTGGTGGGATGAAATCAAGGCATTCGAGACCCAGTTAGAGCGCACGAAGCATTTCCCAGAGTATATCTTCTACGATGGACCGCCCTTCGCCACTGGTCTCCCGCACTATGGACACATTTTGGCTGGCACGATTAAGGATATTGTAACCCGGTACCAGTCGATGACTGGCCACCATGTGACACGTAGGTTCGGATGGGACTGTCACGGGCTGCCTGTTGAGCATGAGATCGATCAGAAGCTCAATATTAATAGTCGGGAGGATGTGATTAAAATGGGGATTGGGAATTACAATGAGGAGTGCCGATCGATTGTGACGAGGTATGTTGGAGAGTGGGAAAAGACTGTGGCTAGGATGGGGCGATGGATAGATTTTAAGAACGATTACAAGACTATGGACTTGAATTTCATGGAGTCGGTATGGTGGGTGTTTGCCCAGCTGTTCCAGAGGGGTCTTGTCTATCGTGGTTTTAAGGTTTGGGTTTTCATTTCTCTCCTTCTATTACTGATCAAGATTATGCAATCCTCTTTTTGTTCACTGCTATATTTGCTTCGTGCCCAGGTTTTTTATTCTTTCTTATTTTGGCATTTCACACGATTAATTAATTTAATGGAAAATCTATGCTGAGATAAACAAGGTCTCCTTTTAAGTTGTATTATTTTTTCTCGTATAAATGTTTTTCTATTTGAGTAGTAGGAAAATAAGAAATGGTCTTGGAGAAAAAGCAAGTTAATTCAATTTAAACTTCTCAAAAAAGGCAACAGATGTGTTTAAAGTATAATATGAATGGTCTAAATGGTATTGAAGTAATTATTTAAGGGTATTTCAAGCCTGAGCAATAACTACCTGCTCCACGGGAATTCTACAGCATCATTGTTTATAATCTCATTATTACTGAATCGGTTACTGTGAAACTTGTTAAATTTGTTGACGAGACAGTTTCTGCATATGAGTTTATTTTTATTTTCTTATAAAGTGTTCCATTTCCTTTTCCTTATGTCAATTGGTTTCTGAAAATTTAGAAATTATTTGTTGCGTAATTTCTTCAAAGACGTTGAAATTTGAGGGAAAGAGAAAGTAAGTCTTAGAATAATTGATTTTGTAGGAATTTTATGGTTTCTTAGTTTGGAACTCATCTTGAATGAGCTGGTTCATTTTTTAATTTTGCAGGTCATGCCATACAGTACAGGTTGTAAAACTCCATTATCTAATTTTGAAGCCAATTCCAACTATAAGGAAGTACCTGACCCAGAAATCATGGTAGCTTTCCCTATAGTTGATGATCTAGATGGTGCGTGTCTAGTTGCATGGACCACAACACCTTGGACATTGCCTAGCAACCTGGCACTTTGTGTCAATGCCAATTTTATGTATTTAAAGGTCCGCAACAAGGTCAATGGGAAAGTTTATGTGGTTTCAGAATCGCGTTTCACAGAGCTTCCTATTGAAAAGCCAAAGAAAGAATCTGTTGGCGATTCAAATTTGAAAGCCAAATCTTCTGGTGCTAAAGTAAAGCATACTGATTACTATGAAATTTTGGATAAGTGCATTGGCACCTCACTTGTGGGCAAGAAGTATGTGCCGTTGTTTGATTATTTCAAGGAGTTCTCAGATGTGGCATTCAGAGTTATTTCAGATAACTATGTAACTGATGATAGTGGAACTGGAATTGTTCACTGCGCTCCTGCGTTTGGAGAAGATGATTACCGTGTTTGTATGGTGTATAACATAATTAGTAAGGGGGAGAACCTGATTGTGGCAGTAGATGATGATGGGTGTTTCACTGAGAGAATTGTTGACTTCAGCAAGCGCTACGTGAAGCATTGCGATAAAGATATCATTCAAGCAATAAAGGAGAAAGGCAGGCTTGTCAAATCTGGAAGCTTTACTCATAATTATCCTTTTTGTTGGAGATCTGATACTCCCCTTATCTACAGAGCAGTTCCTAGTTGGTTTGTTGCAGTGGAAAAGATAAAGGATCAATTGCTAGAGAACAACAAACTGACGTACTGGGTGCCTGATTTTGTGAAGGAAAAGCGCTTCCACAACTGGCTAGAACATGCGAGAGACTGGGCTGTTAGTCGAAGTAGGTTTTGGGGCACTCCACTTCCTATATGGATTAGTGAGGATGGTGAGGAGACTGTCATTATAGATTCCATTGATAAACTGGAAAAACTTTCAGGTGCCAAGGTGACTGACTTGCATCGTCATAATATCGATCATATTACAATTCCTTCAAGCCGTGGCTCTGAATTTGGAGTTCTTCGACGTGTGGAGGACGTCTTTGATTGCTGGTTTGAGAGTGGCTCCATGCCTTATGCTTACATTCACTATCCATTTGAGAATGTTGAACTTTTCGAGAAAAATTTCCCTGGACATTTTGTGGCTGAGGGACTGGATCAAACTCGGGGATGGTTCTATACTCTCATGGTCCTGTCAACTGCACTCTTTGGAAAACCTGCTTTTAGAAATCTCATTTGCAATGGGCTTGTCCTTGCTGAGGATGGGAAGAAGATGAGTAAGAGATTGAAGAACTATCCTCCACCCACAGAGGTAATAAATGATTATGGTGCTGATGCATTACGATTGTACATCATAAACTCGCCCGTTGTTCGTGCGGAACCTTTACGTTTTAAGAAAGATGGAGTATATGCCGTGGTAAAAGATGTTTTCTTGCCATGGTACAATGCCTATAGGTTCCTTGTCCAAAATGCTAAAAGGCTTGAAATAGATGGGCTCACACCGTTTACCCCCATGGATCATAACATCCT